AGCGGGCTCCGGACTCACCTCAGACTCACCTCCAGCCCCGGTAGCCTGCCGGTCAGTGCCTTAGCGCGGTGGGCGGGTCCGACCAGCAGCCTCCTGGCGCGCTGCCTTCTCGAGTCCGCCCCGCCTTCTCGAGTCCCGTCCCGAGCCCTCCGCGGTGCCCCCTTTTCCCGGTCTCCGTCTCCGTCAGAGCCAGGCCCCTGATGGCCACAGAGCACGAGCCCCCCACCCGAGCGTGTACGCACTCGATTTAGTATTGCATTTTGTCCGTTATTTTGGGGCCTCATAATTCATTTCTCCTTCTCCTTTGAGTCTTTTATGATTTGTTTTCTATATATATGCTTTGATTTATTTATGTGTTTTTTCTCCTGTTTCGGTTCCAGGAATTGCACTCAGGACCTTGTGAATGCGAGGTAAGTACTCTAGGGATGAGTTACATCCCCATCCATTTTGACTTTTGACTTTGAGATAGAGTGTCGCTAAGTTGCCCAGGCTGATGTCAAAACTGCATTTCTCTTGCCTAGCTGGGGATTTCTGCCTCTAGCTGGGATTACAGGTGTGGTGGTACGCACCTGTAATTCCAGCACTGGGGAAGCTGAGGCAGGAGGATCGCTGTTAGTTTGAGACCAGCCTTGGCTACATAGTGAGTTCCAGGTCCATTTCAATTGTATAGTGAGACCCTGTCTCAAAACAAACAAACAAACAAACAAACAAAAAATAGAAAAGTTCCAGAAACCTCCCTGGAGTCTGCCTGGTGATTCCGCCCCTCACCTTCCTGATCCGAGATTCAGAACCAGAGTAACTGTATGACAACAGACAGACAAACAACAAGGGCTGGCCCTTGGAGTCAATAGAGAAGAAAATTGAGGCACATTTACTGAAGGCCAGGATTAAAAAAAAGAGGAACTGCTACACTCACATACTTTCCCTAGGGATGAACAGTAGTGATTGATACTCTAAATAGGCATCAATCACCTTTGGTGGGGACTAAAACCTCCCTTAGCACATTCCTTTCCAGAAATCCTTATTCGGTCCATGTATGCATGCTACAGTTTGCTTCCCCATTTGATCCCCCTTTAACCAGTATTAGCTCAGTGACTGCATTTGTTGTACTCTTATTAATTGACCCTAGTTTTGTCCCACATCATACTCACCTTGTGGTTTTCCATTGGATCCATATTACTAAGCGAATATACTTTTATTCTTATTAGTTGACTCTAGTTTTGTCCCACCTTGAACCTGCCTCCCCTTGTGGCTTTAATCAAAACACTCTTGAGAAGGAGGGTTGGTAGGCAACCCACTTTCTGGGTGACTCCTGTCCCTGTCAGTCAGGAGCTATCTTTCCCTCCGATGTTAGGCAAAAACTACAAAAGATGGCTTTTGCACCAGATACCTCACTTGATACTTAATGAGTGTAATATCTGAGGTTCACTGAGTGATAAACTTGTCTTTAAGAATAATCTGTTCTAAAAAAAAAAGTCAGGCATGGTGGCGTAAACCTGTAATCCCAGCACTCGAGAGGCTGAGGCAGGAGGATCGCTGTGAGTTTGAGACCAGCCTGGGATACATAGTGAGGTCTAGGTCAGTCTCAACTACATAGTGAGACCCTGTCTCAAAAAAAAAAAAAGAATAATCTGTTGTTCTACTAAATCAGGAGCCAGGGATATATGCTTCATCAATGCCTCTTGTAAATGATCTATCAGAGGATGATCAATCCTCCAACTGCCTAGAAAGGGGGATAGGAAGAGCTAAAGAAAGAAAGACAATAGAGACTTGTGTAATTTTGGAGGTCAGTAGTTCCGTAAGCAAAGACAAAAACACTTCGAGCTAGCCAGTATTTGGAGGGAGTAGCCAGTATTTGGAGGGTCTTAGGGGATAGCAGTAACCCTATGTGGACGAGGATCTTATGCTGATGAGGGTGGTAAAGAGAGCATTCTCACAATAGTAGGTGGGACAAGATAGCAGGCTAATAAGGAAGTTGTCCTTCCCCCAGTGAAACTTTTTCTTTTATTATTACTACTCAGTTCTCAAAGAATCAGGATGTCTTCAGCTGATGTACTCTTGCCCTTCAGTGTCAGTATTACAGGACCATTGAGGCTTCAACTTGTGAGTGGAAGTGAAACAGTTATTTTTCTGCATGCCATAGCTGGCTTCTGGGTAAGGTGACATTGGGCTTTAGAAAGCTATAGGCATACTGGTTAAAAAACTAGATTTCATCAAAAGACCCATTTTATAGTATTTTAGAAATTCACATTTTGGTTAGTATCAAAGTCCACTAGGGGACACTCTAACATTACTTTTGCCTTGCACTCCTAAACTAGGCCAACAAACCACATCTGTCAAAATAAGTCAAACAGGTCAAGCAAGGAACACCAGTAAGTTAATCAATTTAGTAAATCCAAATGCAGCTTATAAAACACCTCGAATACAAGACTTTGCCTGCAAAAATAAAATGTTACATCAAAGAAACATGATAATCTTACCGTGTTCTCAACTTAAATTTCATTTTAACAAAAAACAAAGTGTAAAAAAAGACAAGGCATAAGCAATTAACAAACAAGAATGACAATTTCTGATTATCTAAACAAGTCAACCCAGAATCCATGAAACAAAAGCAAACTCTTATACCTCCTTCCAGTTTTATATCAGTGGGACCTCCAAATGACGTAAAGGGCAAAAAAAAGTAACTCCCAACCTGCTAGATGTCAGGTACACCAAGTTTGTGTTCCCCGAAATTAAAGAATGAATTCTAAGGAACAGTGGAGGTTAAGAGTAAGAAAAATGTTATTGACAAAAATAGCTCTTGAGAGATAGGAGGAGACCTGAAAATGAGTTGCCACAGACCCTACTTCACAGAGGAAGTTTTATAGAGCAAAAGCATGAGGTGGGTACAAAATCACAAGGTGAGTACAACATGGGTCAAAACAATGATCAACCAGTATGCTTACAAGTATAGTCACATCGGTAATATTGATCCAGTGGTGAAGCTGGTCACGTTTCAAGTGTACATGGAAAGAACAAAGAGCTTTTTAGGAAGGGAAGGATGAGGAGGTCCTGGTCATCCACCTGGGTAATTGATGTCTATCTAGACTTTATTTCTACCTGGTGATACCAGTTGTAGCATAACGTTCAAGTTATTCCTTATCCCTTGCGGGGGCATGTAGTCTTGGCCATTCCGTCTTTTTTGTTGTTGTTGTTAATGGGGATCAAACTCAGGCCCTTGCACTTGTGAGGCAGGTGGCAGAACCACTGAGCCAAATCCCCAGCTTTTGGCTCTTCCGTCTTTATCTTGAGGCCTGACCTTTAACAGATTCACCTTCAGCCACAGCTGTGATGCGTTTTCATTTTCTGCCTCAAGAGCCTAGCCTTCTCTGACTACCTATAATGTTTGTACCTAAATTAGCTTATAATAACATGGTCATCCCTGTGAGAGTTAACAAGGTCAAGATAAACAGGTTCTGAGTTGGCCTAAGCTACGCATGGTGGTACATGTAATGTCAGCACCATGGGAGGCTGATGCAGAAGGATCACACATTCCAGCCCACTTGGAGCTATTCATCATCTTGGGAAGATTCTGTTTAAAATTTTAAAACAAAGAAAAAATAGCTGGGGCCATAGGTCCATGTGAAGACCCTGGGTTCAATTGCCAGGACCACAAAAAGGGGAAGGAGGAGAAAGAGAAAGAGGTGAAGGAGGAGACTGGCCCTGCCTCAACCTGCTCCATTTATATCTGGGGGTGGGGGTGGGGACCTATGTGAGGAGAATTTTGGGGACTTAGGTCCCACAGTTTGGAGACCTGTGTGACCTGCTTTAGAAATAAGGAAGTATGTGGAAAGCTGCATGCTTCCTGGCTATGTGGGTAAAGCTTAAAATCACAGCACTCCTAAGGCAAGATAACATCTGCCAAAGACAATGCAAAAAAAAAAAATAAATAAAAAACAGGAATCCAGGTGTGAGAAAGGACTACTAACTTGTTCCCTTTGTGAGGCTTAACTTGTTTCTCATTTTTTATTGCCTCAGTCTTATGCAGTCCCTGTTCCAGGGAAAGTACACTACCCCTCCCCCTGCACTTACTGCTGGCTAATAAAAGTGGATCAAGCCTCGGAGAGAGTCAAGCTTGTCTACTACAGGCAGGTTCCTCCCATTCCCCTTATACCTGAAATTTTGTCTCTTCTTTTATTCCCCATCATCCTCCCTACAGGTATCTGAAGGTCTGATCAGCCCCCAGAAGTGGGGAACTGTAATTGGCAGCTTCCATAATTAGTTGGAACTGGGAAGAACAATTCCTCAAAAGAAAGCAAATGGATCCAGCAGAAATGCCCTTCCTCTGGGTGTGATGTCCCTGCAGCCTCAGGACAACCTTGCTTACCAAGCCACCCTGCATGGTGCCCATGCCCCATCTCCCATGGGCCAGGGGTCAGTTCTCTCACAGGTTCTGACATGGGTGACAGAAATCATGAGGACAGATCATACCCCAGCCATCATAGGAGAGTACAAGCTT